CGCGCGCCTGGAGGTGGCTGGACCCGGCTTTGGCGCCCGCGAATGGGCCCGGCTGTCCCTCCTGAGAGCCTTCGTGGAAGGAGCCCTGCTGGACGCGGGGAGCTTTGCTGCTGCGCGGCTGCACCCCACCCGCTGTCTGCTTTTCTCCTGCTGGGGGTCTCCCAGGAAGTCCCCCCTGCGGGCGCAGAGCGGGGAGCTGCGAAGGAGCCCCTCCGGGTAGTGCCGCCCGCTGCTCCTGCTGCTCTTTAAGTCTCGCGTGTTCTTCTTTCCCCTGACAGGCCGCTTTTGTATGGGATTCTAGCCCAGCTGTTACGCGGCAATGAAGAGAAGGTCCCCCGCGCCTTCCCCATAGCCCAGTCTTTGTCACGTTCAAAGTGGACTGTCAGCAAGCCATCTAACGAAAGGAGCCAAATGGGTACAGTATATGTGGATCGAGAGACGTGTAAATAATAATAAGACTTTATTAAGTGCACATAACTGCCCAGGGTCACTTCCTCATGAGATGGGCGGTATCTAAATGGGAAATGTAAGTAAATAAATGCTGCCTGACTCCCAGTGATTCTGGGCAGCTCACGACAATCAAACAAATTACAGTAAAATCAGTAGAAGATGGGAACCTCATTCCAAAGGGCAGGCTCTGCTACAAGAAGGCACGCTTCTGGGGTCCCGCTAGATAACATTGTTTAATCGAAGGAACTCAGAGCACGCCAACCCTGCAGGATCATATCAGCTGGGCAGATACTATGGGATATGCTGGACATTCCAGAAAAAGAAACTGCTGTGCAGATCTTCAAAAGAGCACATCAGTGGAACAATCTGGGTTTTGAGACCCCACTTAATAGGAGCAATGCCCGCCTGGCTGTTTGAGCCTTCTCATCCTGTGGACTTATAAGAACTCCTGTTAGCTGATTTGAGTTCAGTAGGACTTAGATCCGAGTCACGGTCAGCGGTTTTGCAGAATTGTTGTGACAGGACTGTCCTTAGCCCTGGCGGACGGGGCATAGGATGCAGTCAGAGCAGATCTCTTGTATGAACGGAAGTTAAAAGACCAGGAGTTCCACGTGAGCTCAGCGGTGCATTTCTGTACTTGAAAGTGAATGTTTTTGGCCTCTTCAGGGAGGGGCTGGGCCACCACTGTAGAAGAGCAAATTATTATTTTTCTTTGATTCACCACATTGCACCACATTACTGATGCACCAACGGCCTACAAAACCTTTATCTTAACTTTCAGAAACTGTTCCAGAGTCTGGACATGTGGCTGGCGTAAGGCTTGAAGATACATGGGGTTCACAGGGCATCCATAAATGAAATAAAGAGGATTTTTTTTTACGAATAGCAGCTGTTTATGTTTGTTATTGTGTGAATCTCCTGTTTGGTTCTTCTAAAAATGGTTGATTCAAAAGGGCCAGAATCATTTATACACTTAATGCTTCCTTCAGCTGGAACTGGCTCACCAGTTATTAATAATTTTTAGTTATATATTGAACTTTTACCCTGTTTCTTCAACTATCAAGGCAACTTACAACACTAGCAAAAATCTGCAAAAAAGTGAACAACAACAAAAAATTAAAATTAAAAACGAACAGGGAAGTAACAGGAAAAGGTTTGACAAAAGGGATGTATTTTTACCACATTCCTATATATTGGAAGACTGGGTGTGCATCTTGAGCATATACCCACCATTTTTAATAGAGCATCAGAAATTACTTTGAAGGCCTGAACCTCACTGATCAGGAGCCAGAGGAATTGTGAAATAAAATAAGAGAAGTTGTTATGGGTGAATATGAAAAGAGACTGCCAAAGACCAAGAAACATAAAAACAAAGATCTCAGGAAGGAACTTAACAGAGAATTTCAGAGAGAGGTTAAAGAGACAACTCTCCCCTGATTTATTCAACCTGTATGCTGAACATATATTGATGGAGCCTGGTTTGGAAGGAAATGAGTGGTTTTAAAATTGGAGGAAGAAGCATCAATCATCTGCAGTGTGTTGATACTACTATGATAGCTGAAAATGCAAAGGATCTACAGGCTTTAGTAATGAAAGTCAATGAGCACAGTGAAAAAATGGGACTTCAATTGAATTCGAAGAAAACCAAACTCATAATAACAGGCACAGCAACCAACCTTAGAATTGAAGATATTGAAGAGATGGATAGCTTTTGCTTTTTAGGATCAACAGTAAAGGAACCAGCAGTCAGGAAATGCACTGTAGACTAGCACTTGGTAGAGTAGCAATGAAGGCCTTGGAAAAGATACTCGGACTCCATGACATCTATACAAGCCAAGATCAGAATTGTGCAGACAATAGTTTTCTCTGTGTCACTCTCTAGAAGCAAAAGCTGGACTCTGAAGAAGCAGGATAGAAAGAGTATCGATCCTTTTGAACACTGGTGTTGGAGAAGACTCCTGAGAATACCATGGATAGCCAAGGAACCAACAAATGGATCATGGAACAATCAGTCTAGAGTTCTCCTCGAGGCAGAAATGACCAGGTTCAAATTGTCATCTTTTGCATACATCATGCAAAGATCTAGTTCTCTTGGGAAGTCCATAATGCTGGGAAAGATGAAAGGAAGAAGACGGCCAGCAGCAAGATGGATGGACTCATTTGCAGTGGTGATGGGTGCACCGTTGGAAGACCTGAAGACCCAGATTGGGGACACACATTCCTGGAGAAGGTCTCTGTAGGAGGTAAAAGTTGACACTGACTTGATGGCACATAATCAAGTCATCTAGTTGCTGCGCAGGCACAGTGAGATTACAAAATGCACATTAAACCTTCAAATGGGATGTGCCAGTTCTGCTTTTTAGAAGGCAGCATAAATCAGCTTTGTAAGGGAGGGGAAACCCCCTCAATCGGGACCTTGGCCATCAGCAATGTTAGACTTCTTTTTAAAAGTGAGTGACAGATCAAGGCCAAACTGGTTTCCCGTGTGTTAATCTGTTGGAACTCGTAACTGTCAGATCTGGCATGCTCACAGAGAACATGAGCATGAACAGAGGACGTGTAGCACACAAGGGTTGCAGCCTGTGAAGGCAAAAGCGGGAAAGGTGTCCTCACCACAATGGATGGGATGTCTCTTGAAAGAGGCGAGTTCCAGGATGGAGGGCCTTGCTTCAACTCTTGAGTTGTGCTGGGATGGCACAGGAGGTAAACGGGGCTTGGGCAGGTGAACCGGGCCTGCCTTGGAGAAGTCTGTTCAGCTCCGGGGTCAGGGCACAATCCACCCTGGTTTCCTTCGTACATTAATCTTCCGCCTTTCATTTGGGAAGACGAATCCTGGCAGTTTCTGTCCAAGTGGGTTGCAGACCCAGGCCTGCTTAGCTTCTGTGAGGTGTCCTGGTAAATGTTCCAGCTTGGTGCTCTCCTGCCCCATAAATCACCCATTGCTTGGGATTCTTGCTTGTCAGCCTGCCGCCTCTGGGCAGGAAGGCCCAGAAAGGGTTTCCACTCCTTTTTAAGCTGTGCCGTTGAAAGGTGTGGATATTCATCAAGCGGCTTCACAGCTCTTCCGAGAGGTGCTGGCTACCCACCTTCTGAGAGGCATGTTGCTGTTGCCCACAGGCTCTCAAAGATGGGCCAGTGAGAGGCAGCGGCTGCTGCTGACCCTCCTCTGGGTCCTTCAGCTTTCCCCACTCAGTCCATCCCAAAACCTGTGCCAATGAAGAGAAGTTGCTAACCCAGACTCACCAAGCTTGAATTGCCAGATACTGTGGGATCTGAACTCTGCCCAGCAGGGGCTGTAGTCAGGGTGGGGCCTGTAGCCTGACAACCCCTGGGACTGACTTGTGCCCAGCTGTGCCCCAGTCCTTCCTCTTTGAGATCCCGGGATGGAAAGAGCCGCAGGGAACACGGGGCTGCCCAGCAGGTTCCCCTCAGGCAGAGCCCCAGGGCATGGCAGGGTCTGTCAACTTCCCCACCCAGGTGGACTTTGCAGTGTTGAACTTGGCCAAGCTGTCGGGGAGACTGGAAAAGGAGGTCCTACACATCTGGAGAGTATCACGGGCTCATTCTTCTGACTGGCATTGGGACCCCTGCCAGGGAAAGCTGGTCCCATAGCCATGGGCCCCTTGGATGGGCCCAAAGGAGCTTCTGGCTCGGCTTGTGGGCTGCAAGCAAAGAGAAGCCGGGTTCACCCACGGTGGGCTGCAGTCCCAAGGGATGGCTTAGGCAACTGGACCCTTCTAGGCTAACCCCCACCTGTTGCGCATCCTCATTTCTTAGCAAAGGGGGGGGCAAGAGGCAAGGTGCCCACTTGGCAGACAGGGCAACCCTCCTCCCAGGGCCTGGGGGGGGCAAAGGAGCTGCTGCACAGCTGGAGAGCATCGAGCCGGGCACTCAGTGGGCAAAGGGCCCTGAGGTCCATCTTGGACAAGACTCTGCCCCAGGGCAGCAAGTGGGTCGGCCGTCCTCACCCTCTTGGCCCCCTCCCTTTCCTGCCTGGACTTGGGCTCCGTATTTAGGTGGTGGCTGCTGGTGCACATCTGCCGCGGGGACATTTTTGCATCCGGTATGTGGACGGGAATTGCTGGAGGATCCTGGTGTTCCCTATTTGGGATGTCTGAGAAGCTGGGTGAGCATCTGGGGCTGGGGCTGCACAGGGAGGGAAGGAGGGAGGGAGGGGCCCAAGTCTTTGGGGGTCTTGGTGAGGGTGAGCCTCTTCCTCCCTTCGCCGACGCACCAGCGGGACCTCCTGCCTCCTTCCCCACCGGGCTGAGAGGAACCCACTCCACCCCCCTCCCCCCAGTGCCCCAGGCCTTTTAACAGCTGTTTTTTGCCATTTAAGGGCAGAGGGTATATTTACAGCGGGTTCTCAGGAGCTGAGCGTTCAGCAGCCGGGCACCAGCTGGGAAAAAGCGAGCCCTTCCATTCCCGGGAGACGGGTCCGGCCTAAAACAGCCCAAGGTTCCCAAATGTTACATAAACACGCGAGGAACACAGCAGACCTCCTTCCTCCTTGGGAACGGCCTCCCCCACGGAGGGAGTCGGCGGCATCTCCGGGCTTTATCTCCAGGCTTGAGCCCTGCATCAAAGCCGGTGCCAGATAAGAGCGTGTTTATTGCCAGGGAGAAATGGGGGAGCTGCCCCGTATCGCCCTCCTCCTCTGGGCATCTCCCCTTTGCTGGGCCTGGCAGCGCATGAGAAAGCTGGAAGGGTTAAGCAGGGCTCCTGTGTCTTTGGGCCAGATGAAAGAAAGCTCCATTTTGGGAAATAGTGTTGCAATGGGAAGGCAGATAATTTCTGAGCCATCCCATAATGTGATGACACACATTATTAGGGGGAAAAGGGAGAGGGAGAAAATGCCTCCTAGCTTGACGGTGAACTCTGGCTGCAAACCCGTCGCTTAAACACCCCCCCTCTCTCCCCCACCCGCACAAGTTTTCATATTTTAGCCCTGGAGACACTGTTGGAGGGGAGGAATCTGTGGCCCCTCCCCTGAGCCCATCACCTCTATATAGGGAGGGGGCAAGAGCGCATCGGCTCGGTCTGCCCAGCTGCTAGCGAGCACCCCTCCCGGACGCTCCTGCCTCTGCTCTCCTCCTGGACTTCTGTAAGTACTCTGGCCGGCTGAGGACCCCTCCTGCACTGCCGGGGGCGCAGAGCTGCTCCCCTTCGGCCACGTTCATGGCCCCTCTTCCCCCCAGGACGCATGCAAGCCCGGCGTTGCTAGACCCAGGCCATTTATTCTGTGCCTGGCAAAATCCCCCTTCTGCTTTCTGAACACTGCCTGGGGAAATTTTGGGCCGGGGTGGAGGGCTTTGAATGGCCTTGTTAGGATGGCTGACTGCCCAAGAAGCAGAGGCAAGGTGAGTGGCATGAGTGTTTGAACTGGGCATCAGCGTGAGCTGGGCATCGTAGAATTGGGGAGTTGGAGGGGACCCCAAGGATCATCTATTCCAACCCTCTGCAGTGTGCCGGAATCCCACTTCAGCCAAGAGGGGCGCACCCTCTTCTTAATAATTCCAGAGGTGGAGAATCCTCTACCTCCGTAGATAGATCACACCGCTGCAGTACGGATCTTAGTGCCAGGAAGCATAGAAGCAAAGTAAAAATGCAAAGCAGAGCTAACAACATCTATCGGCCCAAAACTTTTAAGAAGCCAATGCTGTATTCAGCGCCAGATCTTTTTCAAAATGACAGTCTCAAATAGGACAGATCCAGTGATCAAAGTGATAGATCCAAGATAATTTATGTTTCAAATTTTTTTATTGTTGGTATATACGATATACCAACATTTAAGGATTTTTTTTCAAATTGCCTCCATGAATTCCTGAATGGGATTAGCTGCTGGCAATTAGAATACTTTTTCTGGCTCTGAGTCCCACTGAAGT